TTTTGCCCTCCGCAATTATGTCATCGCGGTAGGGTCGCATTTTTCCTTAGCGCTTAGAACGGTGCGAATTAGTCTTCGCGCTTATGTCTCCGCGCAGAAGGGCTTCGCGGATTTGTGGTGGAACCGAAAAGATTAACCATCATTGACATAGGATTTACAACATGCCTGCTTTGCCTCTTTCTGCAGGTGTTTAAGTACAAAAGGAGAAAGAGAAAAGGAAGCTAAGAAGAATGATGGATTGTAACGTTACCTCATCATTTGCTTCAGAGGTTAATCATGAAGCCTACAAGAATGCCAGCAAGATGAATCCCTCAATTCCAAATCTTCCAACTGAGGTTATCATCATTATGGTCATACTTTTCATCCTCTGCTTTCTGGGACTTTTCGGGAACGGAAAAGTCATTTGGATCCTTGGTTTCCATATGAAATGGAATTATTTCGCCATCTATGTCTTCAATTTGGCTGTGGCTGATTCTGGAATACTCATAATGGAGGTTTTGATGCAAATATCCTTGATTTGTGATCTAGGGATGTCGACAATTTATTTTATGTTCTGTCTTTGTTTTCTGTTTTACAATTCTAGTCAACTTTTATTAATAAGCATCAGTGTGGACCGGTGTGTATCCGTGCTTTTTCCAATTTGGCAACAAAGCCATCGGCCACCCAAATTGTCCCTCGCTGTGTGTGCTATCTCTTGGATTTTGGCTATTCTATGGTTTATAGTGCAAGTGAAACTTTTATTTTCAATGATTTTCCTACGGTGCCAGCTTATTTTCACTTGGGTGTTTTCTTACCCAGTAATGCTCACATCCACTCTGATCTTGCTTGTTAAAATTAAACAACTCCAGCTAAAGAGAAAAGAGGCATTGAAGCTAACCTTGCTTGCACTCATATGCTTCATTGCATTTCGCTTACCTTTGAGCATATTTTCCATTCTTAATTACGCCAAATTTAAGCAAAATAATTTCCAGATGCTAGTGTGCGCGATAAGTGGGAGAGCCTCAAAAGAAATCACATTTACTGATAACATTTTCGACCTTTATATTCTTTCATTGCTATCTAACATCTGTATCGCAGTAAACAGCAGCATCAACCCAATCCTTTATTTCCTGGCTGGGAGAAATAAAGAGGAACGATCCAAATTATCCATGAAAATTATGCTCCAAAGTATTTTCAGAAATGAGGAAGATACCAAGGAAGATGAGATGAAAACTGATGAAATCTAGTTATGGACATTTCTGCAAAGACTGAAGTTTCTTGCTTTGCTGAATGGGTTATGAGGATGGAGTGTGGTGTGTTTGTTTGTTTATTGTGGTTAATAACACAGTAAGTACAGGAGTGTACAACATTTTCTCCACATTATAGAGATAGAAATAACGTTCTAAAGGAGAAGTCCAGAGAAATTAACAATCAAGTAGCTCTTTCCCTCTGAAAACTGGGAAAAAATGTTTGGGACAAAGCTAGCCATATGTCTGGATTTGTTAGATTTTAGTACATGCTGGACCGACTTCTGAATTCTTTGAAAGAGTACATGAGGCTTCACCACACTTTATGTGGCTGGTTTTCTAAAGTCTATAGTTTCTACCTTGGAAGGATGGAAGGCTGAGTCAACCTTGATCAGTCAGTATGACTTCTTAAAAGGGTAAAAGAGTGAGACTAGCGTCTCATTTTTAATGTTTCAGCTCACAATTAGATTTCATAGGCGAATACAAGGTTCCATTAAAAAGCATGCCAGTTTTTTTTAGGTAATGAGTTAAAATATCAAAAGGAAAACTGAACCGAAAATCTTGTGATAGACTTAGATTGAAGAAATAAAAAGAGGTATTTATGATACTGAAAATTTCCGTGACCCGTCAAAACCGCGTTCCACAAAAGCGCAGTCAACGAAATCGCGTATGTGACGTCATCACAACGCGACGAAAAAGAT